TATACTTTGTAATGCATCTCAATAAAATCTCAAAATGATTACAAACACTGTTAACAACCGATATATATACATTACATCATAGGTACAATGCTACGTTGCTTCTTCTGAGCAGAGGAGGAAGAAGAAGATTGAGGAAAACGAAACAAAAATAGAGAGAAAGAGAGATAGAGCGAAATGAGGATATTTTAGACCTGCCAAGAATACCACCCTTCTAGTAGTATTATTGGATGACATTTTATTGGGTATCTGAATTTTTCAGGAAAATTTTTACAATTCTTATACCAAATATGGATAAATAAGATTCTCAATATTAGTTTTCCGGGAATCTAAAACTTACCTATGAATCAAACGCCCCGTGGGAGTATAACAAGGGAGATAAGAAACAAGAAGAGCAATAAACTGAGTATCCTCCTACAAAGAAAATTAACACAAGGTTGAACTAGTGGTTGCTTAAGTGAGTAAAAGAAAACCAATTAATGTTTCAAGTTTGGTGATGGGATTGATTGTAAAACAATAAATAAAAGGAAGAAAAATGAAAATCAACAAGATCTAATGAAGTAATCAGACGCTGGGAAGACTGTGCATCAATTTTCCTTTTTCTGCAACTGTTCAAAACAATGCTTTAGCGATTGGTACATCAAAGTTAACTAGTTAACTAAAACACCTATGTGTACAATAGTTTTCCAACGTACTTGTATGTTACATGCCTGATTCCAATTTAAACATATTCATATTCAAAATATAAAACCAGAAATCCATTGAGTACAGAAGTGGTTATGTGAGGTAAGTCCATTCCTATAACTTACTAAATTAGTTGGATATTGGTATAAAATCCACTGACCCACTCTGTTCAATATGGGTCTAGTTTTAATTCCTTTCCACTATAGTAAATAAACAAGGCATTTCATAGAAAACAATAATGAACAAAATAATTTAAGATTAATAACAAAAATTAAGCATCCATGTTTCCAGTACAGAAATGGATCCTCTATCAACGCAGTCAAATGAAATATAGCAAATGTCAAATGTAAATACATCTAGTACAAATTAGAATAGGCAAAGAAGACTATGGAAAAGTCAAAATAAAAGTTGAATGGTCAGAACCCTTCTGCAAAAAAAGTACCAGCCTCCTTCCTTGTGTGCTAGGTTTCAGGTCAATGGTCCATGTGTCCTCTCTTTCAAGAGAAAACTTTTAGTACTATTTATACAAGGATACGTAAGCGGATTCTAGGATTCTAAAAGATTGTACAGGATCCGCCTACATATCCTAGAATAAATGAATTGCCAATGCACTGAACTCCAGTGCATTGGTATCACCGAATATTTTTCCCTCTTCCAATGTGTAACAGCCCATTATGTACCAGTGTTGTTAACATTGATTATGATATTAAGTGCAGTTATAATCACAGCAGTTCATTTAAAAATGTGAATGAACTTTTTCCTTTTCATTACGTGAGCATTTAAAGTCAATAATAAAACATAATGATAAAAAGACGTGATCACAACTGAAATCTAAATACAGAATAATAAAATAATTGCCTAACTATCATATATTTCTTATCTTAAGTCACTAAGGGGTTCTCATAAACTCACTTAGCATAATTCTCACTTTTATAGTTTTTACATAACTGAACATGGTTCAGTAATCTGGATATTGCGAGAGATTAAGTTGTTAGAAGGCTCTAATATTTTAGTTTGCTATTTTAGACTTAATTACCTTTCCAACAAGCTATCACACGCTCCATAAAGTTCTTATTTGCTCCGGTTATCACCATTTGAAGTTGGACAAGCAAAGCTGCCAGCCAACCTCAAACAGGGCTCCAAACAGCCTCTACCATTTTTGCGATTCTGAACAAACTACTCCACCAATTTCTGTGAAATTTTTATACTGTAAACTAGACACATCAAGCTTAAATTTGACATATCATGGGATAAATTTTACTAAGAATTGAGGGAGAAATAAATTTCCCAAAACCTGTCACCCAACAGCCCCTGCAGCAAGGCATTTTGGACAGTTCACATTCAACCGCCTCTATAGGTCTGCGTACAACTCCAATGGCTACCAAATTATGACACAACATATTTGACATCTCAATCTTCAAAATGGTGTATGGAACATCCCTATTGGACCTTTGTGGAGGGCGATATGCTCTCCCAAAGTTCACCTAAAAATTATCATTTTATATAAAATTCGACGGCATCTCCTTTGTTTATTCAACTTATCCCACTTTATCAAAAGTGTGTTATTATCCTTAAATGGCACCTAATAGACAAGGGTGACATTCAAGGACCAACAATTTCTTGGTACTCTTACAGCCCACGACAATTTATGTCAATTTACTCAACTTACAAACTATTATTTACATTGTTAAAATTAAACCATTTCAATCACATTATCCCATTTGCATGCATTCTTTCAACATACACATAATCATAACTTAAAATAGGCCTATTTTCCTTTCATCATATATCATGCTGCAACATTACACAACGTCCAATATTTACAAATTACAATTCTCCAATGAAAAACATAATACAATAAGTCCTCCAAGATACAATAAAATAAACCTCAAAATACAACATGATAAATATACAACTAGACTTAGGCAAAATATGGCGTGAACAAATATGACAATATGCATAATCCTAAATCAATCTACAATGTTCATGCCCTAAGTCTAGCCTATGCCAAGTGGCCTCAAAATGCAAAACAAGCTATATGTCGAAGTACTCATCCCATGAGTTTCTTGCACACAGCTCCAGCCCCACTGCTACTACTGTGGATCCTTGTGTGAATTTCATGAAAAATGATGAACTTGAACCCTAAAGGAGACACCTATGATTCGACCATGTCATGAGATCTAGGGTTTGATGACTAAATTTTTTTATGAAGTGATTAAGTGTGGAAAAATCCTAAGAGGAACTAAGAAAGATTAATTAAGGAGTTATCTTTAGGTGAAACCTACTAATCTTGATTAAGGATGGCTAAAAATCCTAATAAATATAATTAATCAAATTTTCCCCTTTTGATAAAATGTGGATTAGTTGTGTTAAAAATAAGAAAATCATGGATTAGTGGATTAATTAAGTGTAGGTACTAATTAACTAATGAAATGACTAAGAAATAAGCTTAAAAATACTAATTTAAATACCTAAGCAATTCGGCCATATGTGATTAATTTAGGGTCACTATGTTAAATTAATATTAAGACCTAATTAGTACATTAATCTAGTGGTTAACTGAGGTGTGTAACACCCCGTTCTAGAACCGAGTTGTTAACATTGCTTTATGATATTAAGCGCAGTTACAATCACATTGGTTCAATTAAAAACCCGGATAAATTTTTAGTTTTCCTTTTTAACAACGCCGAGTTTGAAATAACCAATTGCGTGACCATAACTTTATTACTTTGCGGAATAATCAAAACTAAACTTATCATCATATCATTATTTTGTTCGAGTTCAATACTAAACTCTCTTTGCCTTTTATTAAATTGGAATTTATATACTTACTTTTATGGTCTCCAATCTCCAATATGTTATAGTATTTTTCATTAGCTACGCGTGGGTTCAAACCGCGCTCAAATCGGAGCACCGTAGCTCAAGTTATGAAATTTCTAAGAAAATGGATGCTGAAATCCCCAAGACCCCACGCTCATAGCGTGAGTCTCACGCTCATAGCGTCAAACCTACTGCTTGTTGGTGCTCATAGCGTGAACTTGATGCCAAGAGCGCCACAGTTCTGGAGCAAGCACCAAAACAGGGCAATTTGACATCCTTTTGTATTTCATCCATAACTTCAGTTATACTCATCCAAATTACACAATCTTAGTCTCTATGGAAAGCTAAGAAAAAGATCTACAACTTCCATTAAGACACAAGGGTCCAAATCTATCATTTAGGATACAAAAATTGGACAACAAGACAGGATATCTTTACTTTTACTTGGATTTTCAACCTAAAGGTCTTCTTTCACCTAATTGACATCATATAATCCTTTCAATAAATGGTTCTTAGTTCTTGCAAGGTACATATACATCAAAAGAAACATGCATACCATTTCCTCATATACATATATCCTATAATTACAACATGTCTTAATTACAAATCATGGGACATAGCTACAAAACACTATGATCATTCCCTTGACTCCCATCAACAAAAGGGATAACCAAGGGCATGAGCATAGGCTAAGTCCATTCCAATAAAACAGGATATACATCTTTTAATTGACTATCAATGAACAATCCTATACATGTGAACTACAAAATGACATGTATTATCCCAAAAAGACAGAATCTTCATGTAACACTACTAATCCAAATATGGCCACTTGCCACTGGTGGCTCCTGCAGCATCCTTACCTGAAAGGGGGTTCCCACAACACGGGGTGAGATATACGAATATATCCAGTAAACCAGGGGTCCTTGGAGCATCTCTCCGCCCCATAGTTCAAAAACAATGTAATAGCAATAACAATAATAATACAATAAATACATATATATGCAATGTGTAAACAACATCTCCAGGAGAAATCCATCGAGCTCTCAAGCTGTCCTAAGGATACTCAGATGCAAATAGTCCTACTGGCCATCTAAACTACCAAGTATGATTTACGCATCGTCATGCAACATACCAACATAGGGAAACACCATCCTATGCCACACCAAATGCATACACATACATATAACAGAGCATTAAACTATTTCATTGCATTTATATACACGATCACAACCACTACCCATTCAGGGCTTGGTGGAACAATCAAGGGAATTACGCCCAAGGTCCGAAGGCTTACCTCAAAGCATCAGTTCAACCTTTGTTCTTCACCAATAAGTTCTACAACCAGTCAACTTCGAGTTCAAGCTATAACTTGCAAAACTCACCTACACCAACGTGTCACACAATCAATCAATACAATTTAATGAATATCCATGTATTCATCATCAACACAACGACTCCACACCACAATTTGGCATGGACTTACCTATCCAATTGGGCTAATCAAGTTCCATAGCTTGCTCCAATGGTTGATCTCTCAAGGGAGATCCAATTGCCTCAATCCTAACCATCACATGGATACAATCAATAATCAACCAAACCAAACCATTGATTACTAATGCAAGAAAGTCCAAAATCAAGTACATAATCTTGCAATTTTCAAAGTATAATCAATTGACTATCTAAACTCATTTTCACCGATTAAATGTCATTCCTAGCATTTTTCACAACATACACTAAGCCTCATTCTTCCTAGAATATAGCCAATTTACTCACATTATCTTAAAACCCTAACAACATTATTCACCATAACCTAACTCATGAAAATCTCAAGGAATCATGTGTAAGAGAGTGGAAACTTACCACAAATGATCACACAACAATGGAATGAGTGTTCCTCAAGCTCCCATGGAGGTAAAAGCTACCAAACCCCTCCACTTTTCATATGGGTCAAAATTTTGGAGGGTGAAATCTCTCTCCACAAAGCCTCCCACTCACAACCAAGCTTGGATTATGAAAGAGGAGAAGATTTGGAGTGATTTAGGCTTTGGAATCGATGAAAACGGTTAAGATTTGGTGGAGTTAGAGTTTCTCCTCCAAAATGCCTTCTCCCTTCTCTTTTCTTCTCTCTGGTTCGACGGATTATGGGGGGGAAATGAATTGGTTGTGTTGTTTTTGGTCACTTAACATATGTTAAGTGAAATCAACCGGGTATTAGCTCATCTATTTATTCAACTCCATTAATTACCAAACTTTACCCAAATGTCTGAGATATTTTTCTAGGAATATTTCCACTTCCATTTTTTGTATTTTGGGTACTTTTGCCTACACCCATTTATACCCCTTAATTTTCACTGAGTACACTTTTTACCTCAAAAGTGACCCTAATTCACTTAATTAGGTCCTATACTTAATTTTACTCACTAATACATGCTTAATTATTTAATCACATTTAATTTACTAATTAATTAGGCTAGGGCTATTATAGTCACCTCACCTTTTTGCGATTTTGTCCTCAAAATCAAGAACATACCTGTCCTTAAACTCAGGATATTGTCGGAGAAGCTCGTCTTCCTGCTCCCAAGTGGATTCTTTTGGCGTCCTTCCTTCCCATTGAACTTTCACCATAGGAATGGATTTATTCCTCAGCCTCTTCTCATCTCTTTCGAGTATTTTCAGTGGCCCAACTGGAGTTTTCAAATTCTCCCGGATCTCAACATCATCAGGTTGAACCACATGAGAAGGATCAGCTACATATCTCCTCAGTTGAGAAACATGGAATACATCGTGCAAATTTGATAATTGAGGAGGTAAGGCAAGCTGGTAGGCAACCGGTCCTACCCTACGAAGAATCTGGTAGGGTCCAATAAATCTCGGACTCAGCTTCCTCACTCCAAGGGCTCGTCCAACACCCATAACCGGTGACAGCTTTAAAAATACGTGATCTCCCTCCTCAAACTCTAGAGGCCGATGCTTGAGATCATAATAACTTTTCTAGCGATCTTGAGCCTTTTTCAGACGATCTCTAATCATTTTAATCTGCTCAGTGTCTCCTGAACAAAATCCAATCCAAATCGCTCTGTGTCCCCAACCTCTAACCAGCAAGTAGGTGTCCTACACCGGCGACCATACAAGGCCTCGTAGGGAGCCATACCCAGACTAGCATGAAAACTATTATTATATGAAAACTCAACCAGCGGGAGATATCGATCCCATGCAGTACCCTGCTCCAGGGTGCAAGCCCTCAGCATATCCTCTAACGTCTGAATGGTCCTCTCAGTCTTACCATCCTTCTGTGGATGATAAGCAGTGCTCAGTCTCAACTGAGTGCCAAGAGCCTCCTGCAATGCTCCCCAAAAGCGAGAAGTGAACTTCGGGTCCCGATCACTAACAATGCTCTCAGGAACCCCATGAAGCCTCACAATCTCCTTCACATAGAGCCTAGCCAATCTTTCAGCAGAGAAATCTACCCGAAGTGGTAAAAAGTGTGCGGACTTTGTCAATCTATCCACAATCACCCATATAGAATCATAACTAGCCTGTGTTCGCAGCAAACCCACTATGAAATCCATGGAGATACCTCCCATTTCCATTCAGGAACATCCAGAGGTTGCAACATACCAGAAGGCTTTTGATGCTCGATCTTGACCTTCTGACAAATGAGACACTTAGAGACAAATTCGGCAATGTCTTTCTTCATACCAGGCCACCAGAAATTAATCTTTAGGTCCTGATACATCTTTGTAGCTCCCGGATGGACAGTGAATTGACCCTTATGGCCTCTGCCATCACTTCCTCCGCCAACTGTCTAGGTACAACAATACGACCCTGATATAATAGTATACCCTCATCATTGCAGGATACACCACTCTGACCTTTTAGTCGCTTAGCACTTTCATTTTGCAGTTGAGCTTCTTTAATTCTAGTCATCATTTCATTTTCGATTCTTGTAATTTTGATGCCACAAATTCGGCATGGAAAGATTTTAGACAATTTCATGTCTCTGAATCTCTCAATCACATCAAAATCTCTCATCATCATGCATGCTAAGCTCACAGATTTACGGCTCAATGCATCAGCTACAACATTAGCCTTGCCGGGATGGTATTTTAATTCGAAATCATAATCCTTTAGGAACTCGGTCCACCGTCGTTGTCTCATATTCAACTCCTTTTGATCAAACAAGAACTTCAAGCTCTTGTGGTCACTAAATACGGCAAACTTCATTCCATACAAGAAATGCCTCCATTGTTTCAACCCAAAAACAATTGCAGCAAGCTCTAGGTCGTGGGTCAGATAGTTTTCTTCATGCGGTTTCAATTGCCTTGAGGCATACGCTACCACCCGCCTATCTTGCATCAGCACACATCCCAATCCCTTTTTGGAAGCATCACTGTATAATTCAAATTCACCTTCCGGATCAGGAAGTACTAACACCGGAGCTGTTGTCATTTTTTCCTTAAGATTCTGGAAACTTTATTCGCATTCCTGCGTCCAAATAAATGGAGTATCCTTCCAGGTCAAACAGGTTAATGGCAAAACCATTGCAGAAAATTCATTTATAAATCTCCGGTAATAACCGGCCAAACCCAGAAAACTCCATACTTCCGTTACAGTCTTGGGTCTCTCCCTATCAATAATTGCCTGTATCTTACTAGGATCAACCGCCACTCCATCAGCAGAAATGACGTGACCCAAAAATTGCACTTGAGAAAGCCAAAATTCACATTTTGAAGGCTTTGCATACAAATGTTTCTCCCTAAGAATTTGCAACACAGTTCTCAAATGATCTACATGCTCTTCCTTACTCTTGGAATATATCAGGATATCATCAATAAACACAATCACGAATTGATCCAGAAACGGCTTTAAAATGCGATTCATATAATCCATAAACACCGCCGGAGCATTAGTGAGTCAAAATGGAATTACCTGGTACTCATAATGTCCGTATCTAGATCGAAAAGCAGTCTTCAGAATATCCTCCTGCTTAATTCGGATTTGATGATAACCCGACCTCAAGTCAATTTTTGAAAAGACACAAGCACCCCTCAACTGATCAAGCAAATCATCTATGCGAGGGAGAGGATACTTGTTCTTAATAGTAACCTTATTCAACTGACGGTAATCAGTGCATAATCTCATGCTACCGTCCTTCTTCTTAACAAATATAACTGGTGCTCCCCACGGGGACACACTTAGCCTGATAAACTGCTTAGCCGAAAGCTCCTCAATATGCTTCTTTAACTCGGCTAATTCTGGGGGTGACATCCGATACGGAGCCAGAGAGATAGGCCCCACACCAGGCAATAGATCAATCGTGAACTCAATCTCTCTATGAGGTGGAAGTTGCGGAATCTCATCCGGAAACACATTTACCAACTCCTTCACCACGAGAATATTGTCGATCTCCTCATGACTTCCACCCACTAAACCCCCCACAAAGACATATCCCAATGCCTCGGCCCTCAAAGCCTTTCTAACCTGCAACACAGATAGATATAGGGAAGAACTAGTAGCAGAATCATCAGCAGAAAGCACAATCTGTTTTCCATAGCAGTCTATCATAGCACAATTCTTTGATAACCAATCCATTCCCAAGATAACTTGAAGACTGATCATAGGCAGACAAATAAAATCCAGCACATAATCTCGGCCTTCATATTTAAATTCCACGTCCTTGCATAAAACTGATGTATAACACTTCTCTCCAGTAGCAGTCACCACTTTCAATGGAGGAGAAATGTCGTACATAGGTAAATTTAGCCCAACGGCCATAAAATCAGACATACAGGAGTGTGTAGCTCCTGAGTCAAACAAGACCTCAATATCCATACTATCAATATAAATTATACCTTTCACAAGGTTTGGAGCCTTTTCGGATTGTTGACGGTCCATGGTGTATACTCTACCAACCGTCTGAGACTCCTTCATAGGTGGAATAACCGAGACAGGGACAGCAGTAGCTTGAACTACCATAGTCCTCACTTCATTCTGAGGACACTGCCTAGAGTAGTGGCCGGATCTTCCACACTTATAGCAGATCATTTCACCTGTAGCACACGGACCTCTATGCTCTTTTCCACATCCTCTACAGTTGGGAGGAGGTCCTTTATCAACAAAGTTCTTCTGAGTTCCGGGCTTCTTGAAAAAGTCGAGTGGATTGTTCATACTCAGCTTCTTACCCTTCATTTTCTTGTCCTTCCAATAATTTGAGCCCGTTGCTCTATTGGCATTAGGTGCTTGGGTCTCAGAAGGCTTCTTGGTCTTGGACACATTGTATACTTCTTCTACCTTTCGGCACTGATTCACAAATATGCTAAATTCTCAGATGTCACAATTTGACATCTTCTGAGACATCTTCTCATTCAGACCCCATTGAAACTTGGAGGTCATCTCAGCTGGAGTAGGTAGGGCTCTCCCATAGTTGGCGTACTTCACCAATTCATTGAACTTGGCAAAGTATTGGTCGATTGACATCGACCCTTACTTCAAATCATTGTATTCATTTTGTTTTTTCTCTCTAGCCTCCCTGGGGAAGTATTTGTCTATGAACAACGTCTCGAACAACTGCCAGGTGATTTCCCGGCCTTCAGCTTCTAATGGTTGCACTGTATTCATCCACCAATCTTCAGCTTCACCTTCCAGCATATACACAGAGTAGACCAACTTCAACGTATCAGGGCATCTCATCACCCTAAAGATCTTCTCCATAGATTGGAGCCATTTTGCTGCCACCAGTGGGTCATAGCCTCCATTAAAAGAAGGAGGTCTATGTTTTCTGAAAGCCGTCAATCTCCTTTCTTCGGCTTCATGTTCATCGACATGCTCTACACGTGGTTGACGAACCTCAGTGTGATGACTATGACTACCAGAATGGTGACTGGCCTCACCATCATTGTTACCAGCTCCACTCTCTTCGTGGAGAGTATGTGGAGTAGGCGTGACGGTGTGAGGAGGAGGAGTGGGTTGCAGGTTCTCAAGTCTAGCACCCCTCCATGTCCTCAACTCATTCATCATCGCGGCCATAACATTTTGCGTATCTTCATTCGTCTTCATCAATGTTTCATTAGCCTGGCGGCTCGCAGCCAACTCCCTTTGCATGGCTGCCATAGTGGCCGCCACAGGATCTGACTGTACATTTGTTGTTCCACGACCACTTCGGGGCCTAACTAAAGCATCCAAAACAGGTTCTGACTGAGCATTGGCATTCGATGGTCCAGGGTTATTCTGGTTCCTCATTATGACACTACACATGTTACACAAAGAAATGAGTTGATCAGGCTCACACTCAGAGATCACAAATGCAATAATCATAAAGAGTACCAAAACAACTATAAAGCATTAAACACCAAGCACATATAACAATAATCCACAAATTTTCCTACAAAACTGCTCTGATACCATTAAATGTAACACCCCGTTCTAGAACCAGTTTGTTAACATTGCTTTATGATATTAAGCGCAGTTACAATCACATTGGTTCAATTCAAAACCCGGATAAATTTTTCGTTTTCCTTTTTAACAACGCCGAGTTTGAAATAACCAATTGTGTGACCATAACTTTATTACTTTGCGGAATAATCAAAACTAAACTTAACATCATATCATTATTTTGTTCGAGTTCAATACTAAACTCTCTTTTCCTTTTATTAAATTGGAATTTATATACTTACTTTTATGTTCTCCATTCTCCAATATGTTATAGTATTTTTCATTAGCTACGCGTGGGTTCAAATCGCGCTCAAATCAGAGCACCGTAACTCAAGTTATGAAATTTCTAAGAAAATGGATGCTGAAATCTCCAGGACCCCCACGCTCATAGCGTGAGAAGTCAGAGAGGTTAACGCTCATAGCGTGAGTCTCACGCTCATAGCGTCAAACCTACTGCTGGTTGGCGCTCATAGCGTGAACTTGACGCCAAGAGCGCCACAGTTCTGGAGCAAGCACCAAAACAGGGCAATTTGGCATCCTTTTGTATTTCATCCATAACTTCAGTTATACTCATCCAAATTACACAATCTTAGTCTCTATGAAAAGCTAAGAAAAAGATCTAAAACTTCCATTAAGACACAAGGGTCCAAATCTATCATTTAGGATACGAAAATTGAACAACAAGACAGGATATATTTACTTTTACTTGGATTTTCAACCTAAAGGTCTTATTTCACCTAATTGACATCATATAATCCTTTCAATAAATGGTTCTTAGTTCTTGCAAGGTACATATACATCAAAAGAAACATGCATACCATTTCCTCATATACATATATCCTATAATTACAACATGTCTTAATTACAAATCATGGGACTTAGCTACAAAACACTATGATCATTCCCTTGACTCCCATCAACAAAAGGGATAACCAAGGGCATGAGCATAGGCTAAGTCCATTCCAATAAAACAGGATATACATCTTTTAATTGACTATCAATGAACAATCCTATACATGTGAACTACAAAATGACATGTATTATCCCAAAAAGACAGAATCTTCATGTATCACTACTAATCCAAATATGGCCACTTGCCACTGGCGGCTCCTACAACATCCTTACCTGAAAGGGGGTCCCCACAACACGGGGTGAGATATACGAATATATCCAGTAAACCAGGGGTCCTTGGAACATCTCTCTTCCCCATAGTTCAAAAACAGTGTAATAGCAATAACAATAATAATGCAATAAATACATATATATGCAATGTGTAAACAACATCTCCAGGAGAAATCCCTCGAGCTCTCAAGATGTCCTAAGGATACTCAGATGCAAATAGTCCTACTGGCCAGCTAAACTACCAAGTATGATTTACGCATCGTCATGCAACATGCCAACATAGGGAAACACCATCATATGCCACACCAAATGCATACATATACGTATAACACAGCATTAAACTATTTCATTGCATTTATATACACTATCACAACCACTACCCATTCAGGGCTTGGTGGAACAATCAAGGGAATTACACCCAAGGTCGGAAGGCTTACCTCAAAGCTTCAGTTCAACCTTTGTTCTTCACCAATAAGTTCTACAACCAGTCAACTTCGAGTTCAAGCTATAACTTGCAAAACTCACCTACACCGTGTCACACAATCCATCAATACAATTTAATGAATATCCATGTATTCATCAACAACACAATGACTCCACACCATAATTTGGCATGTACTTACCTATCCAATAGGGCTAATCAAGCTCCATAGCTTGCAATAACGGTTGGTCCATCAAGGGTGATCCAATTGCCTCAATCCTAACCATCACATGGATACAATCAATAATCAACCAAACCAAACCATTGATTACTAATGCAAGAAAGTCCAAAATCAAGTACATAATCTTGCAATTTTCAAAGTATAATCAATTGACTATCTAAACTCATTTTCACCGATTAAATGTCATTCCTAGCATTTTCCACAACATACACTAAGCCTCATTTTTCTTAGAATATAGCCAATCTACTCACATTATCACAAAACCCTAACAACACTATTCACCATAACCTAACTCATGAAAATCTCAAGGAATCATGTGTAAGAGAGTGGAAACTTACCACAAATAATCACACAACAATGGAATGAGTGTTCCTCAAGCTCCCATGGAGGTAAAAGCTACCAAACCCCTCCACTTTTCATATGGGTCAAAATTTTGGAGGGTGAAATCTCTCTCCACAAAGCCTCCCACTCACAACCAAGCTTGGATTATGAAAGAGGAGAAGATTTGGAGTGATTTAGGCTTTGGAATCGATGAAAACGGTTAAGATTTGGTGGAGTTAGAGTTTCTCCTCCAAAATGCCTTCTCCCTTCTCTTTTCTTCTCTCTGGTTCGACGGATGATGGGGGGAAATGAATTGGTTGCGTTGTTTTTGGTCACTTAACATATGTTAAGTGAAATCAACCGAGTATTAGCTCATCTATCTATTCAACTCCATTAATTACCAAACTTTACCCAAATGTCTGAGATATTTTTCTAGGAATATTTCACTTCCATTTTTTTATATTTTGGATACTTTTGCCTACACACATTTATACCCCTTAATTTTCACTGAGTACACTTTTTACCTCAAAAGTGACCCTAATTCACTTAATTAGGTCCTATACTTAATTTTACTCACTAATACATGCTTAATTATTTAATCACATTTAATTTACTAATTAATTAGGCTAGGGCTATTATAAGGTGGACTATGCATAATACACGAATTAAATATTAAACCCTAAAAATGAACCTAATTAGGGTTTAGGAATACTAATCATGCAATTAGTGAACTTGAGGTACCATGACATAATATGAATATGTGGGATTTTATAATGTGATCTAATGATAGAAAAAACCAATAATTAAAGTGGCTTAGATTCGCTAACCAAAGGTAATTAAGGTTTGATAATTAAACACACTTAGGGTTAAATGACCAATTTTTAGGCTAACTTGGGGAGATCATATCTCCCTCCACAGAAGTCCTATAGGGATATTCCTTATGTCATTTTTAATTTTGAGATGTTAGATATGTGGTGCAAAATTTGGTACCATTTGGAGATGTATAGCATTCTGTAGGTTCGATTGAGTGAAGACTGCCCTAGGAGGCCATGTGCAGGGGTTGTACATGGCTGCAACTTCCACGAATTGTTTCTCCCTCAGTTCTTTCTCAAATTAAGTTCATAATATCTCGAATTAAATCTGAAGGTGTCTAGTTGTCTGTATAAAAATTTGAGAGCTATTGGTATAGTAGATTTTCCATAATTGCAGAAATAGTAAGGGATGTTTAGGGCTCTGTACGGAGTTGGCAGACAGCTTTGCTTATCCAACTTCAAATTGTGATAACCGGAGCTAGAAAACTTCAAATGAGGCATGTGATACCTTTTTGGAAATTTAATGGATTCTAGATTAACATACTAAAAGATGATAACTTTATAACAGGTGGGTTGCGCACAGTGACTAGAAAACATAAGCATGTACAGTTATGGAAAAATCGTAAAAGTGATATTTGAGCTAAGTGGGCTTTTGGGAACCCTTAGTAAATTATAATAAGTATATATATGGCTTGGGTGAATGAAAATAATATAAGTTACCTTAGTGATCCTAGAGTGTGATTCTAAGATTATGCAAGGTGCTTAAACTACGTGGTTGATTGTGTAATAAGTGAACACTTCATAATACACTAAAATACGTAATTATGTAATAATTGGTCTAGACTTGTAATGGGCATATTATTGGCATGTAAGAATGAAATGTGGAATCATTAAGTGATTCAGTATTAATGATGTAAATGATTCCTGCTGTAGGTTTTCCTAAAGGATTTGGCACTTGAGGGTTTATTGGAGCATACGTATTTTACTGTTGGAGTTGGGCTTGTGATAAGCTCAGTGAGGTAAGCTCATAGTTCTGGTTGCTCCTCTCTCTTGTGGCCCCATCACGATTATGGGCATTATAGTTGTATTCTATAAAAGTACGTGGTATGATGCATATGTGCATTCATTC